ATGTTAAATTGTTGGATTGGTTCTTGGAGTTACTCTAACTACCCTGACAGGCCCAGAATAACCCTAGTCAATTTTCCCTGAATAGTTTCCCAGAATGCTATAAACAAACATTATTGGAGTAGTATGTGTAACTTTCTGATAAGACCCTGGCACTGAAGTGCCCAACTCCTTGACATTAGCTTAAGATAAACCAGGTATGCTCCAGCTCAAGTGAAGTCACTTTTGTCCTATTACATAAACCTGTACTTCTGACCCAAATAGTAGAGATCTACCTAATCTTGCTGCCATCCAGGACCACACTTCTCTCAGTAACTCCCCAATCAATTGCACTCTGTGCAGTACTAAATTCCTGCCTCCTTTTCTTCAGTCTCACAGAAACTTGAGGTTGGTTCTCACACACCTGGGTTGTTTCAGAACACAAAGCTTGTCTCTGCTTGAAAGCCAGCAAACTCACACATAAGGCAATATCAGAATCATTTGAGACTTTGTATTCTAATACAGTAAATCATCAACATCAACATGATTTGCTGTATGATCTGAGCTTAGGACAGAATTTTGTTTGCCTTGATGAAAATATATTGAGAAAAAAACTGTAATATGGAGAGCATAAGCAGACAATTTTATCTTGGTTTTGACTCATAGTTTTGTCCTCAATGTCCTATTTGTTCTTCTCTTAACTTCTTGTCAGGCATGGTAACATACACCTATAATCCCAGCAACTTGGGGAGGTTGATGCAGGAGGATCACAAGATCCACACCAGTTTCAGCATGTGAGACCCAAGCAACTTAGCGATACCCTGTCTCAAAATAAAAAAAAAATTAAAAATGGCTGGGGATGTGTCTCAGTGGTTAACTTCTTAACTGAGTTTTTTCATTTTGTTGTAGTCTCTTATACACATTCCCTGTTCCTGAATGCTCCTTTTTGATCTTTAGCTAGTGTTTATTTCATGAATACAATTTTTCTCTGTTTTCTTAGTCTTTGGTTTGGCTATATCAATTTTAGCTGTTCTGATCCACCTCTATCTTTTTTTTAAACTGAATCATGTTATTTAATATCTCCTTTATATTACTTTAAAGGTGAAAACATCTTTCAGTCTGAGATTTTCCCCTATTTGATATTCCTTCTTCAGTTAAAATGGTAAAATGTCTTACACAATAAAAATGAATCACTTTGAGTCTTTATATATTTAGTTATTAGACATGAAATATTATGAGGTTGATTTCTCTTTGGGTCACTGTGTTCTAAAATAATAATATGATATAAGGTAACACTTGGCATAGAAGTAAGAACTTGTTCAAAGTTTTGAGAGGCTGAATCTCTAATTAGAATAGGATAAACTTGCACAAAATTTTTCTCTCCAATGCAGTCACCACATACACAAAATATGCATTTTTGAAGATGAAGTAACATTGGTTCTCAGTGATGATCTGACACAAACATGTTATTGCAAATTCAAAGACACTGAGTTCAACGGAAGTTGGAAATTTATTCCCCTTGGGCCACACAGTTCATCAGAGAAAGCATAGATGAGAAGCAAGCCCTCTCAACCCCAAAGCATGTTCAAAGCTGCTATCTTCAGCACACTGCTGATCTGTGATCTGACATGAGTACCTAACAGGACCTATACTGTTCCTCTCAAGAATGGAGATATTTTCCTTATACTCTCCAACATAAGACCCAAATCTACAGACTTCTTCTATTTGGGTTTGGCCCTTCATATGAAATTCATTATAAGCACTTTTTATTATCTCTGAACACCCCACCCTTTTTTTCATATTTCTCCTCCTATAAAATTAATGTGGGAAATTGTCACCACACACTTATTCTTCCTGCTGCCAATTTCTCAGAAACCATCCTGCACATTGCTATCAGGTAACTATCATGAAATGATATTTTGGTCATATAATTTCCTAATCCACAAAAATATCAATGAAATTACTTTCCCATGTTATATAGAGAAGCAAATCTCCTTCTACTTTGATAAAGTTTTACCAACATTTTCAACAGTTTATATGTTTAGCTTAAATATGTTTTCTGATAAATTTGTCTGCTTTTGTTCTTCCAACCAAATATACTAAATCCTTTTTTTTTTTCTTTTCTAATCATGTCACACACATCATTAGACAGTTCAAATGTCAAGGTACATTTAGTTTTTACCCAGATCATATTAACTCAGAGAACTCCCCATGATATTTTTTTAACTATTCCATTTACCTAGCACTAAGTTTTCCTACTGGTAATATTATTTACTTATGCATTGTATTGTATCTCTTGAATATACTATAAGTTTAAGAGGAAAAAAAATTGTGTTCTTTTCTCTGTATTCCCTAAGAATTTACAGTAGGTCAATATTTATTCACTTGGCTTTTATTTAATAACTGCCATCTATGAAATCAGTATTGTGTTAAGCTTTGGAGCTATAGCAATATTCAAGACATACTCAGGTTGCTCTCATTCTGGTATTTTCTATGGTGAAGATGGGGAAATTAAAAATTATAGATACAATGTCTCTAAAAATGAAAGCAAAATGTTCACTTAAGAAAGAATTGTTGTTGGTTATGGTGGCCCATGCCTGTAATCCCAGTGTCTTAGGAGGCTGAGGAAGGAGGATCATGAGTTCAAAGTCAGCCTCAGCAAAGTGAAGTGCTAAGCAACTCAGTGAGACCCTGTCTCTAAGTAAAATACAAAATATGGCTAGGTATGGGACTCAATGGCCGAGTGCCCCTGAGTTAAATCCCCGGTAATTCTCCCCTCACCCCACCCCCCCAAAAAGCAAGAAATTGTTTTGCAGCAGAAAAAAAGAACAAATGTTCCAAATAATTTTATTTATATAAAGATAAATAGAGATTTCATGGATATAAGTATTTTAAATGTTAATAATCTAGGCAAGAGATGGTAAAAACATAAAAATAGCAGTAAAAGAGGCCAAGGGATAAATTTGAAAAATATTTAGAAAAGCAAACTTTCAGAAATGAATTTAATAGGATGTAGCTGCAAAGAGTAAGTAGTCTAGGATGATGTCAAAACTCAAGAGACTTGTTTTAGTCAAGGGCACATGAATCTAAACAAGAGTCACTGGAGAGCTAAGATGTCAGTGCATTAGCCACTTGAAATTACTTTATTACACTGTCAAAGGAAAGCACTAAGCACCAAGAAACATGGCAGTGCATTTCATTTGCAGTTGTACCTAACTGAGCCATAAAGATGCAAATGAAAATGCCAAGCTTCTTTTTTCCACCATATACAGAGGACTAAGTGTGGTGGATGTTACTCCTTGGCTTAATATCTTTTTACCAAGCCCTTCCTCTACCTGATGAGCTAATTCATTCTTTTTCATCGTGAAAACATCTAAGCACAAAAGAAAATGTGTCTATCACTCACAGGTCTTCTTCGGAAAAAGATAGCACATCTCATCAACCAATGCCTGGGATTGCTGCAGCCACATCTCAGGAATCCTGGGTATTTTCCTAAAAGAGTTCATCCTGTTAAGTATTCTTGAATTTTCTGATCATAAAACTACCATGAAAGGAAGATTACGAATATAAAGCATTCATGAGCAAACCCGCAAGCTCACAACTTTACATAAGCTCACTGTTGGCCCTGCAAAGGTAAATATATGTGGACTTTTCCAATTTCCTTTTAAAATTATAAACCACATTAATTCAGGCATCTGAAAAAGGGCATCTCCTTTCTCAGCCACACCTCCTACTACTGCATAGGTATGCTAAGAGACATTTATTTCCTCAGCAAATGGGTGTAATGAGACTTTTCACAAGGGAAAATGTGCAGAATTCTCTAGGTGCAGTCCTAAGGGGGATGGGGAAGTACTGAAGAGAGACCACATAGGAGACTGTTAATGCTGAAGGCACAAAGCCTGATGACGTCGCCCCCACGTGGCGACATGGGAGGTTTACAATCTCCGTGGGAGGGGCGTTATCAGCAGCAGCTTTCTGGCTCCAGCCCTACAGCACCAAGATCTGTGCCTTGGAGCCAGGGTAAATCTTTTTTTTTTTTTTTTTTTTTTTAGTTTTTTATTGTTGGCTGTTCAAAACATTACATAGTTCTTGATATATCATATTTCACAATTTGATTCAAGTGGGTTATGAGCTCCCATTTTTACCCCATATACAGATTGCAGAATCACATCAGTTACACATCCATTGATTTACATATTGCCATACTAGTGTCTGTTAAGAGCAGGCTGGGAAACTCCAAATGACCAAGGTCGGGAGCGGAGGCAGAGATGGGGTGAAGAGGGAAGAAAGTGATCTGTGAGGTGAAGGGGCTTCACCAGATTCAGAGATGACTAGTAGTTCGGTTTTGTGGCCTCACATTGATGCATGGAAGACTGTCCTATAGAAGTCAAGCTGTTTGAAACTCCTCACTTGTCTTAAAAGATAAATCATCCATTCACATGACTCCCACTGATTCACAGCAGTATCTTGAAATCATTTCTAAATCTGGCCTTTCCTGAGGTCAAATTAGGAACTTTAGTTTCTTATTAATGCTGTGAATATACAGTTATAGAAACTGTAAGTATTACAATTAGAATAGGGTGGTTGACTCTTCTGGATTTTCTGTGCTTCTGGGATTGAAGAGCAAGAGATGTGACCCCAAATCCATATTGTCATGGCTCACTGGGTGGGAGACTACTTATAGAAATTATATTTTGAAGAGGGTACAGATTGGAGTCGTAGATAAGGAGTCAGGAGTCTTGAAAATATGCTAGATTTTCCAAGGAAGTTAGCCAATCAACAGTTCTTGAACTTCCTTAAGAAATACACTTTTTTGTTAATGTTTGAAGGAAATAAGAGGACATTGAAATACAGTCTCTCAGAGGGAGATTATATAGTCCTAATGGTGAGATCATGATTATACTAAACTCTTAGAGAACAATACTGAACAGTCAAATTAGCTTTAAGATGTCGGCAGAAATTATATACTATATTTTATGTTCTTCAAATCTTCATCTCAAATGTTTTGTGTCCCTGTTCTAGAATTATGAAATCATACACCATGCTCCTCCTGTAAATACCCCAGGAGAACCATGTCATCCTGTTCCTAAAACACCTACAAGAAAGGGCACGGTGCTTTTCCATCAGTAAGTATCAAGGATAAAATGGTAGCCAACTTTTCAACTATATATGAATGTGGGTTTAAAGGGATAAAATACAAACTTAAAGGATGGGGAAAATTTTTCCTTGAAAATACTTTCACCAACAGTGCTGTTACTTTTATTGATGCAACAAAGAAGATTTTAAGTTGGATGGGCAAGGATATGGGAGAGGAAAATGTCAAAGAGGAGAATGTTGTCTCCTGAACTGTGAATTTTTTATAGCTCAGTCATCCAATATGCTATACCCTAATATAGCATATTGGATGACTGAGCTATAAAAAATCTTTAGGCTCATGTGCATATTTTTCAATGAGCCATCAGGATAACAGGATACAACAACTTTGATGTTAGACTATTTTCCTAAAGTTGGCCAAAACTAATCCTTGAACAATTGAATCTCTAATTAGATTATAATGCTTTTTTCCCCCAATAATACCTGGAAGGAAGAATAGGTCACAAACACTTCTGATACTGGAAATTCAGAAAACAAGTTTTCATGGAAATTTTTTATGAGCTCAGCAAAATCCAGACATTGCAAAGGATAATAATAAACAATAATTTCCATTTACTAAGGGTTATATGCATTGTATTATGTAAATATTATAGTAGTTTTTCACATGTATTATGCCTTTCAGTTTTCAAAATAAACCTGTAATGTGTTAATCTTATTTTCCATAATAGAGAACTGAAGCTCAGGGAGGATCTTTGAAACATGATGGTTCCCAAAGACTGTACTTCTAACCAATAGTAAGCTACAGGTGGATAGTAGGTAGAAAGTAAGGTTATACAAAGCTGAACCAGGAGGTTCAGCCGCAAGGCAGGTCTAGGCAATCTTCTCATAATTAACCAGTCTTGAATGATCAGTTTGGAAATATTTAACCAAAAAGTCAGTGTCCAAATTTTTGTTTGTTTGTTTTATTTACTGGGGATTTAATCCAGGGGTGCTTTATCATTGACTCACATTCATACATAGCCTGTTTTATTAATTTATTTTTATTTTGAGACAGGGTCTCATTAAGTTGCTGAGACTGGCTTTGAACTTGTGATCCTCCTGTCTAGGTTTCCTGAGTCCCTGTGTACCTAAGAAATGGGGAGGGCTGGTTAAGGGAGAGGATCCTGCTTTGATTAATCATGTTAAAAGCAATGTGGAAACCAATGTCAAAACATCAAACAACTGGCAATGAAATTGGAGATTATTGGTATGAAAAATACCATTGCAAAACATTGTTAATTGAGATTCACATACACAACCAGAATTTGCCCAAAGACATATAATATATTCTGCTGTAACTTCTCTTTCCAAATTCCTTTTTTCTACAGAGAACGCAGGTATTTTATTCTGTCGTGAGAACCAACAGTAAGTGATTATTTATTCTAAGGTATATATTTTATCATGCCAAACATTTTTATGGTGCAAAGGGTAAAATAATCTATTAATGAGTTTATCCATAGTTTTTAACTGGGATAAATTTTGAGAGGGATAAATTTTGAGAATGATCTCAATAAAACTTTCAAAGTTATAAAAGTAAATTATAGCACTGGCACACAAAAACAGTATCAATTTGCTATTTAAATTTTTTTACATTCATCCTGAAACATACACTTAATTTTCATGCTTGTGATTTTGAAATAATCATGGTAAAATGGGATATAAATCAAGATATCATTCTTTTAATTTAAAAATAAACAGTTATAAGATTAACAATGGGGAAGATCAGTGCTTCCCCAAGTAAGTGGTCTTGCCCCTTCATTTAAAAGACCTAGGATTTTCTGATACATTGATAGGATACATTTGGCAATGAGCTGCTGAGTGTCTTTTAAAAGAGAATGAAAATATTAAACACCCTTTGTACCAACTCATGGATTAAGCAAGCTTGAAAAGGCTAGATTTTCAATTTGTTAATTGCACTTGTATTTTTCTATGTAAGGAAATTGGACAATACATGACAACAAATATGACAATATGGCACTCTATGGCAGTTCTTGTCACACTGTTAATGAACCAGAGAATCTCTCTTCCTTGGTATAATTTGGGCCATTATATTAGTTTCCCTCTCTTAGTCCCATGATTTTTTATTTCAATGAAGACCTTTGTTTGCTTTGACTTAGTTTCCAACAATGGCTTTACTTCCGGTGGCGCTGCTTCTCATTGCTATGCTGCTTCCATCTTTACCTGCTGAAGGAAAGGTAAGGTTAAAAAGAAAAACTACATGAGATGGCCAGCTACTTTGAGAGAAGAAGGGACAAGAGTGTATAGTGTGGTACAGAGTGCTCATTGGTAGCTCAGAGCACTAGACACAGTTATGGGTCGTGAAGGTTAGGAGGCGAGGGTGTGTTGCGGTGCAAAGATAGGCAGGTGAGGATGGCAGCCCCCAGTCACAGATGACTATTGAACGCTGAAAAAGACAAGTTGTACTGAAAGTTCGAGATACTCATCAGAGATCAAAGATTTAGAACAAAAATAATCTCATTTTTATATTAAAATACATAATTAAGCAGTAGTATTTTAGATATGTAGTTAAACAATGGATTAGGTTCTTAGGGCTATTGTAACAAATTACCACAGGTTTGGTGGCTTATAGGAACAGAAATTTATTTTCTCACAGTGTGGAGACCAGAGTCTAAAATCAAGGTATCTGCACAGCTGCAGTTCTGATGGAAGATTTAGGAAAGATCTGTTCCATGCATTTCTCCTAGCTTCTAGTGGCTTCTGCCAATTTTTGACATCCTTGACTTGTGGTCATATGAGTCCGATTTCTGCCTCCATGTTCACATTACATTCTTTTCTCTGTGTGTCACTCATAACGACATTTGTCATTGGACTTAGATTTTATTAATTCATAATGATCTCATCCCAAGAGCCTTAACTTAATTATATCCACAAAGATGTTTTCTCCAAATAAGATCACTTTCATGGATTCTGGAAATTAGGACATAGACATATCTTTTGGGGGACCACCACATCATACAAATAAAATACATTAAAGTAATTTCATCTTTCTCCTTAACTTCTTTAATAGAGCCATCTACAACTAAAATTGCATATGATGGCTTAAGGTACATTTTGAATGGACAGCATGGTCTCTGGGTTTAAAAAGCTAATGATAGTCCTCCTGCCCCAAGATCTTTTCTGATTTCCTTATTTTATTCCATTTGTATGTGGTCCCTACAAAAAAAAAAGCAACACATTTATGTAATTTAAATTGGAAAAAGTTCTTCACATATGTCACCACACTTAATCATTATAATTATGATATAAAATTTGATAAGTTAAAAAAATGCCATACTGTTTTATGCATGAACAGTCATAGAATCAGTTTGTGAAAACTTCCTTAGTATGTGAAGTCTTGAATTCAAATCCTCTATTTCTAATTGGATGCTTTGCTTTAATGACCTTAGAAACAAGTTCAATCATCCTCTTCAAAAGAGTGACTGTGTAGTTTTCAGTTGGCCAGGAGACCACAGCTTTGGTCCGCGCCGTCTGTTCTCATACCTTCTTCAAAGTGTTCAAGACCAGGACTCCTCAGACTGGAGAACTCTTTTGACATTTGGTTCAGACCTCACTTGGCATTCAGAAATACAGACTTTTATGTTTCAGTGATCTAATTGTCAGTCTAGAGAGAATCTGTTCCTCAACTAGGGCTTCAGTACAGTAGTTTTCTTGTCTTTCTTATTTCTTTCTCAACAGATTTTCTTTCATCACCTTTCCTAATGCCTTTAATCTCTCTGATCTGTCTCTGGTCTTCATTTATAAAACCATTTTGCCTCTAGTATAACTAATGATCAGAAGCACTGAACATGGTCTTGTGGGCATGATTTTCCATACTATCTCAGGATGCCTAGAAAATGTATTCATCTTTCAAAAAACTACAATCCAGAATCATCTTTTGTGAAAACTTCCTCAACCTCAAGTAAGAAATCCTTCCTTTCTATTTTATAGATCCCTCTCATAAAAGTTTTGCTTATGTCATACTGTCTATACAATATGAACCCTTAAAGGTAGACAGCTATCATATTTTATTCATATTATTCTCAATACTCTTTCCCTTAACGAAGCTCTATTAATACTCAGTTTGAAAAAAAAAAAAAGTAACTTTCTTTTTCAGGAGAATTATTACCTACAAAGAAAGATGGTATAAGAAGCAGAAAATAAGTACTTCTTTTTAAGAAACTACCTTTTGAAATGAAACTACTTTGACAAGATTTTTTAATTTAATAGGAAATATCAAGCAATGTTATTTTATGTTTTGATAAATGGCAGAGATTGGCCACTACTGATGTTAACATGTGCATCCCTTCTATCTTAGGGGTCAGTAGCTGTGCTGTTTCTATTGGTACAAGGCATTGACTAATTTTCCCTTATCCTTAGGAGAGAGAAATGAAACACCTACTAGATATTGGCAATAAAATTCAGGGTCTATGAGTAGAGTACTGGAAAAGACTTGAAGGGAACAAAATATGGGAGGAGAGGAGGGCAATGTATCCCAAAATTACCAGGGAAAAAAAAAATCTATAATGGGCTCTGTTCACTTAAACTTGAACTTCAAAATCTTTCTCATACTAATAGAACATCAAACCCTTTTTGTAAATATAAATTTAGTCCTTGTACCAACAATCCACATATCCTATTCCACCCAGGGCTGAGCTCCTCCCCCATATCCACAACCACAAGGATAAATTGAAAATATCTTTCAATTACCTTTAATATCTTATCAGTTACATTTTTGTCATTAAAAGGAAAAGTTAAGTCCATGAATTGGATGAACTTGCTCCCTCCAAACATCCTTGAAGATTTTTTTTTAATATCTCAAATCTGTATTTTGAGCAAGCCTAAAAATAAGTAAATATGTAAAGTAAATAAGTAAAAATGATTTTTTCTTAAGTACTGGCTGGGTTGGCATATGCTTGGGCTGAACCTAAACATTCTCTAAATGCAGATACCATGTCATTAAAAAGTCCCCTAAAACATTGAGGATGAATCGTGAGCTCCATCCTCACTCCATCTCATTCATTCGCCTGATCAGATATGAATGAATATGCATGAAACTTTGTGGTTTTAAAATATTATCTATTATATGTTAACAAAAAAAATTATTAAGAGTTCTCTCAAAGCCAGATATTGGTATTTGTGGCCTCAGAGTTTTTAATTTAATTACTCTCCATTTTCAATACTTTGGTCTTCTACTTTCCTATTTAAGTCACAGCTTTTGCTCAGATGCATTGTAACACTTGAGTAGGCTAGTATTTGCTTTTAACATTTGTGCAGTACTACACAACTAAATACACACTTTTTGATCTTTGTGACTTTTTAATTAACTTATTCACTATTATAAGCAATTTTCAAAAATGTTTTAAATTTTATTTTCCTTTAGGATCCAGCTTTTACTTCTTTGTTAACTACCCAAACACAAGTGCAAATGGAGATTGTAAATAAACACAATGAACTAAGGAAATCTGTCTCTCCCCCTGCCAGCAACATGTTAAAAATGGTAAGAAGCAGAAATGGTGTGAACGGGATGTGAAAGGAGCAGGCAGCTGGAAACACGCATCTCTTTAAAACTTCGTGGTTTGCAACATTCTATTTTGCTGTTTTATTTCAACTTTCATATGGGGAGGACTGTGTTTCTTATTTTTGTTTTGAAAGATGGTTTAATAACTTATCAAGTGGGAAGGCTGAATTAGAAGCCAAATCTTTGAGCATCCAGGATGAAGTCATCACATTTTTTGTTCACTATCTTTCTAGTCTTAAGAAACTTTTGTTTCTTCAAAGTCCTTGTCATTATTAACATAAATGAAAGCTCCACATTCCAAGATTTGTCCCTAAAAGCCCAGTATCTCCCATCTGAAAGTGATAAGCTTCAAATGAAGCTGGGAATAATCTGGGCCAGCTTATTACTATTCAAATATAATTAGAATACTTCACATGTCTGTCAATATCTAAGAGTAGCACCATTACTAAAAATCCTCAGTGTGGATAGATGAACAATCAGATATTCTTATCTTAGGTATTTCTGTCCTTAGGCAAACAACCTATGGATTGCTCCTTGTGTGGAAGCGGGCATTGGTGCAGATAAAGACATATTGAAAAATGAAGCGACCAAAAATGCATTTTAATAAGAATGATTATTAGATAATAATCCTACAGAAGTTTTAAATTATTGCTTATCAATATATCGATTATATGCTTCATTGTGGTTAGATCATTAAGTGTATTTTTTTTCTTTTGACATTTAGGAATGGAACAGAGAAGCAACACAAAATGCCCAAAAGTGGGCAAATAAGTGTACTTTGCAGCACAGTGGTCCAGAGGATCGACAAACCAGTATGTGGATGAGCAAATATTTGTTGAACAAATGAACAAATACAATGATAATAGATTTTTGTAGCCTATTTCATTAAGAAGAAATCGTGAATAAATGCTTCTTATGCTGCTTTTTAAACTCAAATGATCTGTATGTAAATAGAAGGATGATAATGAAAAGGACAATTTTGTGTGCATGTTTTTTATTTACATTATTCAAATAATTTCTCATACAGTATCACATTAGTTCCTCTCCACCAGCTCATAAGTAACACAGTTCATGTATCTCTATTTTGCAGTGTAAAGATTAGAAAAGTTTTGGGAGAAAAGTGATTTACCCAAGAACACACCAAAGTAGTATCATACTAGACATTTTCAGTCAAGTTTTCTGATTTCCAACAAAATTTCCTTTTTGACATTTTGAAATCTAATTTTTATATTCATAACATACATTGAATTATGTTGAATTGTTCCTGAGTTTTACTCTATAAATAATGTATCCTTTTAAAATCATATTTTAAATGATCATGTTCAGCATTCAACTAAAATTAATATTTTGAATATATTTATTTTCAAATTCTTTACATCAAGCAGCCAAGTATTTTGTAGGTACAAGGTGCTTATGATGCATAGAACGCTGAACTCAAAAAGCAATAATACACATATTGTCATGTATGTAAAAAATAAATAAATAAGGTTATAAATACTATGAGAGAAAAAAACTTGTATGTATGGGCTTTACATAAAATATTTACTTACTATCAAGAATTATATATATATATATATATATATATATATATATATAAAGCAGTTAATCATTAACCTGTTATTTTAATTGAACTATTATTATTTATTTAGTTTGATGCTATAATCATAATAAAATTATAGAAATGGCCATATTCAGTGGAAGACTAAAACAGTCTTGAAGATCCAAATGTACTGTTAAATTTTTACTTTCTTTTCTTCATTGTTAAAAAAGATAACCAAGAATATTTTATCTTCTTTATAAGCAATATGTAGACATTATATTTCAAGCCACTGAAAGGTGAATATTAATTGAGAGCTTGCAAAGTACAGGAAATATTTTTGGGCTACAAGACATGCCCAGGAATTTGGGTTTGTGACATTGTGTTTTCTGGTAAAGGAAGACTCATAGTTTTGAAAACTATCTTCCTGGTCAGTTGTCTCTCGATTGGGACTCTTAAAGACTGTCTAAAAAGCCTTTTTTTTTTTTTTTTTTAAATTTTTACAAAAAAATAAAGATTTTTTTTGAGCATCCTATTTTTGAAAAATCTCTGGTGAGGGTAGTAAGAGCAGGAGAGAAATTGCAATTAGGTGTTGGTGGCTACCTGTAGCAAGGATGCAATACACACTGAAAGCAGTGAGGCACATACACACACATGAAAACTCAGTGTATAAGTGATTGCATCCTAGATAATCCAGAGGGAGGGGGACTTTTAAAGAATAGGATCTTCTCAATCTACTAAAAAATTTGCAAGTTCTGGCCAGTCTCAATATTTAGGCAATTCTGTCTTCTAATCTTCTCTAAAGTTGATCTGGAGATAAGATAGCCTCCTCTCATCAGTCAGAAGCTAGCAACTATGAACCCTGTACTTGAAAGGCAGCATCTTTGCATTTGTGAGGTCAATTTCTTTTTTGAGTTTTATTGCCTTCCTCATATATGATCTGTTCCTTCCTAGCTACAAAATGTGGCGAGAATCTCTACATGTCAAGTGACCCTGCTCCCTGGTCAACGGCAATCCAAAGCTGGTATGATGAGAGCCGTGGATTTACCTATGGTAAAGGACCAAAGAATCCCCAGGCAATTGTTGGACATTACACTCAGGTAAGAGAAACAGTGAAATCCCCCTGCCACAAACATTATAACAGTTTGCAGAAACAGCTTGAGTAATCATAATAATCTTGGCATTTGACTGATAGTTCATTGAGATCTGCTATTTTTATCCATGGTCCAAAAAATGTTTGGTAGGAAAAAAAATACACAGTATTGCTCCTATAATATAAATAGGTAAGCTTGTGAATGTACATAAAATTTTTGTATTTTTAAAGTGCATGACTTTGATTCAGTAAATTTAAATATTTTCATAAGATGTGGACATAAATTTAACCACAGTAACATCATCAGTGTTATATTTGCTACTATTTCTTTTTTAATATTTTCTATTTTTGTAACATGTACCCCGATATGCTCATTCTCTTATGGATTTGTAGCTTGTTTGGTATTCATCCTTCCGCGTTGGATGTGGAGTTGCCTACTGTCCCAATCAAGACAGTCTAAAATACTTCTATGTTTGCCAGTACTGTCCTGCGTAAGTGTTCACATTAGAGTTTAATGCCAATAATTGTATCTGCAATATAATATTTTAAAATTCTCATATATTCATCAATAGGAAAATAATAACTCAATAAAGGTGTGATACATTTCTGGAAATAATGTTTAAGATTGAGACACCTTTAATTTCTCAGAGAAGATACCAAGTTCTCAGTCACAAATAAAATGATGCTCTCATTCCTCATTTAAAAAAATGATGTAATTTCTTTAATTATCTTTCCTGAGGATTAGGGTTATTCAATGAGCATGTGTGATCCCTCTCTAGACTTTGTATCATCAGTTTGCTAACTTCATACTCTGAATCTCTAGAAGTTTAATGATTAAACAAGGGGTGCTGGTAGGATTGCAAATAGGGGTTAATATATTGCAATTTTAGTCCTTTCTTCAAATAGTCCTACTCATGTTTATCTAAACAACATATTGTTACCATCACAAATGAGTCATCTTCGAGAGTCTCAAAGACTTCTCAGGAGAAATTTATTATTTCAGAACTCAGAAAAAGAAAAATCTTGACTCTTTTATTTTCTCAGAATTTACCTAAGAAACTCTATAAATATCTTGTGTCTCGATTTGTAGCCAGAATCATGCCCCCTTTTTCAAACAGTATGTGCAAAATTATCCTCAAAAATAAATTCATAATGAAGATATATTCAATGATATATGTGAGTTTAAATTTTTAAACATTTGAAATTCTTTATTACTGGAGGGAGGGGGAACCCCAACCCAAATATGCTATATAGGACTTGTGTAGAGACAGATAATCCAGGTGATGGAAGGGTTCATTTGAGAAGGCTGAACCATAAAGTTGTGTTTCTGCAAGCACCTGTTAGGGTTTAGTGGAGAGAACTAAAAGGCCCTAGGAGAGTGCATCTAAACTCACAGCCTGGCCCTCAAAACAGGACACTGAAGCCAGGCTTAGGAACTGAGAGTTGGAATGAGTGATGAGAGGAAGTAGGGGAAAGAACTCCCAGAACACTTTTCTACTTGATGATTTTTCCCAGTGTTCACACACATACGGCTCTGCTCTATGTAGGGGAACACTCAGGTACATTGCCTTGGGCCCTCTCCCCACTTGGCTTCATTGAGAATTGGATTCCTATATAGTTTCAAATTAATTAAGTAGTCCAAAAGATAATTAACCCATGGGTTAATCAGTGTGAGATCATCTAGTGCTGGGTATTGTTGTTCATCAAAACTTTTCTTAACCAGCATTCTTTTTTTTTAATTTTTTTAGAACATAGATATCTCACACATGCCAAGTCTAGAAACTGACAGAATTTCCTTCAGCACGTGGTCCCAACAACATACAACTCATTAGTTGAAAATCACTACCTTTATGAAGGGGCAAAAATATTCTGAAGCTTTATTTTTATGTATTAGATAAATTAAGGTGCTTTTCATTCTTCAAATATAAAATGATATGGTAATGCTGAGCATTCTTCTCTTTATTGTAACCCCCTACCTCCAAAATATTTCTCTCTAGGGAATATGCTTTGCCCCTAACCAGCACTTAGGGTGCATTGCCTTAGCAAATTGGTTGCATTTATTTGGAGATAAAGAAGCTGTTAACTGCTTGTAATATTCTCCATATTCTATATGCTAGTTCTTAATTGAATGGCTCAACCTGTGAAATTATGGTTAAAGAGATAGGCCAATGTGTGAAGAAAGCATTTTCTTAATTCTTATTTCTTTCTAACTTAATGCTTTGGGAGTTATGTTTTTTCAGTTTTATTGACATCAATAAAAACAGTGAATTAGCTATTTGGCAGCTGATAAATTAGAGTATGATCCAAAGAGCAAATTAAAGATATTTGACACTGTGTATTTCACATTTCAGTGGTAATAATGTGAGTAAAAAGAATAACCCTTACCAACAAGGAACACCTTGTGCGAGTTGCCCTAATAACTGTGAAAATGGACTATGCAGTAAGTTTGAATTATTAACTTCCTACTCTAAGAGAATTGATGTTTTCCTTTCTTTTTATGAATTAAGAAATCCCCTAAACCAATTAAATAACATATTAAAACAAAAGCCAGAAAGATACTGAACAGTGTGTATAAATAAACTTACAATTCAGTAACTAATATTTTAATTATAATGAAAACACATTATCAAATATGACATATGTGTAATCTACCATCAGTGATTGTGCTGTAGATTTGATTAATATTAAATATACACTTCTGACAAATAGTTTGTTTTATTGAAGCTAATATCACTATGCCAATTTAGTTTTTTAATATTTTTTAGTTTTAGGTAGACACAATCTCTTTATTTTATTTTTATGTGGTACTGAGGATCGAACCAAGTGCCTCACACATGCTTGGAGAGCCTTCTTCCACTTAAGCCATAACCACAGCCCCGCCAAGTTAATTTTTAAAAATTCAAAGGAATATATCTAAAGGGGATTAAGATTTTATTATGGTTCAGTCTAGACCAGTATGCCAAACACTACTCTTTTGTACCAATGAGTTCATTGTGTGAATTTCCTCACTTCCTTTCTACAGTACACAGTGTTTACCCTAATAAATGATGAAATGCTCTATAATCTGATAATAGTTTAGGCATATTATTAATGACAAAATCAAATCTGTATACAATATTCACTCACAGAGCAAACATACTGTTGCAAATTAAAAGAATAAAACAAATGTCATACACCTCAATTTTAATTGTCATAATTACAAGTAAAAATAGCTGCTGACCTTCTATAGTTGGGATACTTTCATGAAAATTATTATTAATAATAGAATCAACCCACTTACTGAGGTTTTTACCTTTCAAATGCATTCACCTTTACTTAGCATTCTTTCTGATTCAATTATGTAATTATAATTCACAATATTGATGATATCAAGGCTATAAATCCACTAAGGAGGGAAAATGTTGAATACTCATACCTCTCCTAAATGCTTTTTGATGCAATGAGCACTCAATAGAAAGATTTTAAACAAATAGTGAAAAAAATGATAATTGTGTTTCATAGAGAGCTTTTTGGCAACAATATGCACACCTGTTGAAGTGGAAGCCAGTTAGGATAATGTGGGAAAACATGGATTTAAAATCCGTGGGTGTCATCATAGCAGTACTGGCAAAATAAACAATAAACAAGACAGTATTTGTAATCTGTGCTGCTGGAGTGCTTGTTAAAAGGAGAGAGGAAGGAGTCTGAAATGGATCCACCTGCTGGCTTAAAGTACTGTGTGACCAGAGTGTCATTTCACTGAGACTGCAGGAAAAGTCCAAGAATCCTCAGCCTGATGTGATGAGTTTATTTTGAGTTTGTTGAGCCATGGGGTCTTTGGAAACATTTAATCAGAATCTTCAGAAGAACAAAGTGCATATTGTCCTTGTTTTATTCTGTGACCACTCATAAAGATTATTTGTACCCAAAAGCTGGCACTGGAGTAAGACATGCCCATCCAATAATGTGAGATAATAAAAATGCTCTTGTAACTTGTTGTATAGCTTTAGACACTAGTCCCATGTAGTCTCTGAACACTTTAAAATAGGTCTGGTAAAATTATAAAACTAAATTTTTAATTTATTATAAAGTTGAATAGCTACATGTGGCTAGTGACTCCCATATTGGATTCTGGGGTGAGAAAATATATTTGCATTTATTTTATTCTGTCTGCTAAGGTCAATACTTTTAGAAATATATCACTGGCTGAGTATGGTCAGCACACCTGTAATCCTAGCAGCTCATGAGGCTGAGGCAGGAAGGGTGCGAGTTCAAAGCCAGCCTCAGCAACTTGGGGAGGCCCCAAGGAAATTAGTGAGACTTTGTCTCTAAAGGAAAACTAAAAAGGGCTGGGTATGTGGCTTAGTGGTTAAACATCACTAGGTTCAATCCTTGGTACCAAAGAAAGAAAGAGGGCTAGGGTTGTGGCTGGCTCGGTGGTAGAGTGCTTGCCTAGCATGTGAGGCACTGGGTTTGATTCTCAGCACCACATATAAATAAAATAAAAGTCCATCAACAACAACAAACAAATTTTAACAAAGAATGGAAGGAAATAAAGGAGGGAGGAAGGGAGGGAGGAAGAAAAGAGAAAGAAATAGATCACTGAATTAAAAGTAATGGATTAGTCAGTGAGCCCAACTAAGACATGTTACGTGTCCCTCAAAACATGAAGTATAAGTGATGCTAACCTGTTGCTCACTCTTCCCTCCTCCCTCATACACTTTGAATGTATGAATTGTTTTGCTGATACAGTGGAAAATGACAGTAAGGTGATTTAAATCTGTTTTTGTTACAGCCAATAGTTGCGAGTTTGAAGATCTCCTTAGTAACTGTGAGTCCTTGAAGAGCACAGCTGGCTGTGATCATGAACTACTCAAGGAAAAGTGCAAGGCTACTTGCCAATGTGAAAACAAAATTCACTAAAATGCCTAGTGTACATCAGGCAGGATTATATCCAATGGCTTCATCATTTAGCAGAGACATACCCAGGGAAATTGGAGGCATACTAATTAGCAATTTGATCCCAAATGGCAATGTTTTTTTCTCCTGGATCTTTACAGAAATATCTGTCTCCTACAGCAATTTACAAAAGTAGCATCAGCCACAATAACAGATTTGGACTTAGATATCAATTTGCTGCTTTAAGTTAAGAATTTTGAAGGCTGTATAACCACAGAACTTTGGTCATAGAACTTCACCCAAAAAGGAGAACTACTTGTCTCCTAAAACAACATGATAAAAAAGAGAAAGACTGGACATCTTTGCCATCCCTACTACATGATATTTTACCTGCATAAATAATAAATTCAAAGCTTGAAATCTACATTTGTCCTTGGCCTTTCTTTTAAACAAAAGTAATCAGCTTTTTAAATAAAAAGCTTATCTAAAGAACTACATGGATGGGATTCTCATGCAATGCTTCTATGGTATTCATAATCAACCCCAGGTAACTAAGCCCAGATAGATGATTATTCACAGAAAATTCTCCAAAATAGTTGCCTGTAAAATTAAATTTTAACAAAAAAGGAACATCAGTTCTGTTCTTACTTTTTCATTTTTGCATTTACATATTCTTCTTATAAGGACATAATCCAACAGAATATACGAATATAGCCTTCCAGTAAAACAAATATGGTAATACCTCAGGGAGATTAATTATGTCTTTATATAATTTTTTATATAATTTAAGTCTTTATATAATTTTTTATATTGCTAACAACAGGTTAAAGTCAGTCCATTTATAGTTGAGAAACTAAAAATTTAAAAACAAAGTTATGGAAGGTAGTCAGAAAGTAAGTCTGGCCAGACAAGTGGTTAAATACTTTAAGTCATATTTCTAAAGCCTTCATTGTTTTTTAGGCCCAGATGGTTTCACACTGAATTCTGCAAAACACTTTTTTAAAGAATACCGATTTTACATGATCTGTTCCAGAAAATTGAATGAAAAGAAATTCTTCTCAATATATTATATTTAAGGTTAGTGTTATCCTAATACTAAAAGACAATTCAGGAAGAAAAAAGATATAGACCTATAGCTGTTATTTACACACAAGGAAAAATTCTAAATAAACCTTAAGTAAATTGATCCAGCATCACAGCAAAAGGAGAATACACTCCAACTGAAATTTTGAACAAGTTACTAGAAAAAACAACAAATTAAATGTCTGGAAGATATGTCACCTGTCATGGAATACATTCATTGTATATATAGCTACCCGTGAACTTTATTGGAAATTCTTCCACAAAAATAGCATTTCTTCATTCTAATCTTAATAGCTCAATTTCTCATAAAGTGTGATTTGAAATATTTAAATCTATTTCAGGGAAGTAAATGTAATATTTTATTTTCATAACTGCAAGAGCACAGAGATGCAGTGACAATGTGTGAGAGAAGCACAGAATTTTCCATTTGAATGTTTTCTGGTATAAAGTCCATTCAATTTTTTGATGGGCCATTTGAAAGGATTTAAATGAAGAGCCACCTTTAGGTTGTTGTAAGATTAAAGTTACCTTTGAGTGGAAGATCTGGTCTGGTCCATGTTTTGAATATTTGGAAAACCTTTGCTATTCTATGGCTTTTTAAAATTATATCTAGTTCTAATGTGGCTAGTGAAGAAATCTAACATATAAAAACTGCATGGGAATCTTTGAAATGTAATTGCTAATTAACAATCACTCAAAACACATTTTTCCCCACTAAACTGAAGTTTTTTCAGAAATGTGCTGTTGTTTTACAAGTTGATTTGTATGATAATGCTTACCTCATTCTATGATAATCGAAGTGAGTTCTGAGATAATGTATAACATTCCAGTTTTTTTTTTCTAATTTTGATGAAGATGATGATGATCTTATTTTACTTCTTAAACACGTAAAATTTTCAAACTTTCTAAACTGAATATCTTCAGAAAGAACTTAGGGCCAGCATCAAAATCTGTAATTGCACACAACTCCAAATAACCACACATGCTTGATGTTTACAGGCTTTGCTAAATCCCTCTTCAGAGTGAGCGTTTCCAGTGGACATTGTAGCACAACTATTGACAGACACAGCCATCAAGCTACTCCTCTATTTCATCCCCCCTTGATTGGTCACATGTTTCCTTCCACATTCATGCACTCATAATTCATTTACTTCTGGCATTTGATTGTTCCTCAGTCAGAATGTCATCTCCACACTTCCTTGCTTTTGTTTACATTGGATTTTCAAATTCAAGTCTGATTAGAATCTCTGTATCTCAGTCCAAAGTGTCATGGCCTGACTCCTCTCTCTTGGATCACAAGGGAAATGTGTTAGTTTCTTCTCAGGACAGTCTATTTAATATGGAGTTCATCCAGGCAAGAACCATGCCTGCTGAGCCCTGTGGGTTGCAGGGAATGAACTGTGCTGTGTGCATGAAGTACAACATCATTCCCTATTCACTGCAGGAATGCAGAGGTCTTCATCACCAACCCTACACTCAGTCAGGAATTTATTAGGTGGGAGATGAGATAACTAGGAGTATGGATGAAAAACAACTTCTTTGATAGACAATATCAATTTTAGAAAATAAAAAAATTCATGACTGTTTCCAGATGCAAATTATCTTTAAATTATTAACTGATACTCATTAATCCCAAAAAAGCAGGTACAAAAATTTAAATAGGAGAAGGTCCCATTTTAAATAGCTGAAAACTTTTCTTTTGTATGCTTATTTTGTCTTCCAAAATACCCTCACACTGTCCACTGACCTGCTTTGGCTTTATCTAGGAGGAGAGAAAGAATTTATTACCTTTTAATTAACAAAGGAAGAATTTTGACTAGAAGTTATATTAACCCATGCTATTTGAGAATATATGTCCTTTCATTTATTCAGAGTTTATTTGTTATTAGATATTTGATAATAGCTTTTGTTTCTTCATACAGGTTTTATTCTTTTTTAAATAAAATTTATTATTAAAAATGTACAAATTTCATAGTTATAGTTATGAGGTACATTACAATGACTAAAAGGTCATTTCTATTATTTTTTTAAAAATTATTTTTATGTCAATCTGGTATTCAGTCATCACATTAAACTCTTCAGTTTTAGTTATATTTTGAATTATTTAGATAGTCCTACTTAATAGGTGATTAATAAACAATGTCATTATCTAGCATAACTACAATTTTTCTATCTAGGACTGCACTATATACCAATAAAATAGATGATTGATTGAGGCTTTGTCCATAGCATTAAGAATTTATATGAAAAATAATAAATACATAAGTAATGTGACCCAATATAATAAATACCATAGTATAAGTGCACAGTAATTATAGTGGTAATCAAGAACTGGGGTGTATACATATTTGTAATATAATTGAAAATGTTTTAGGGATAGTCACTTTAGTTAATCAGAAATTCACAGTTCAGGGTTCATTGTTTACTGAAAGCAAAACTATAAAGAAAACTACTATCAATATTTCAATTACCAATGCCAAGAGATTTTGTTAATAAAATAGTGAAATTCAAAGATAGTACATGATGGTACATAATGGCTAAATATGTTTTCCTAACGAAAAAAATATATATTTTAACAAGACCTCATGTGAATTCCTTTTACTTTTAATATCACTTGTTTCTATGGTAGAATTTCTAAGCTAGTAGTGGTAATAACTTTGTGAGTCAGATCACTGCATCCACTAAACATGCCCAACCTATTAACAACATCTCAAAGTCCTTATGTTAAAGCCTTCTAATATTAATAGGAGTTTTGTATAATATAAAAGCAAACTCATTTTTCTAAATACGGGGAAAATGGAATCCTGTTCAAGTTTTTCCCCACTTATTAATATGTGAGCCACTTAATTTTCTGGGACCATATTTACATCACTTATTTATTTATTCAGTTTGTTTTCATTGCTTATTTTATTTTGCATAGATGGTAATGCCAATAACTGAATCTTAAGAAATCTATTATTTCCTTTTTTGTTTGTTGTTTAAGGAAAATATAGAAAAGATGAGAAGTGAGCAATATTGTTAAACACTTATTATATTTGAGGCTCTGAGTTAGTGTTCACATATATTAATTACTTTTTGTTTTCTTATCACATATTTTAAAAATTTAGGAAGTTTGGAATCACATCTAAATAAATATTACAAGTATAAAAAAATTTAAATGTAGAATTTATATGAAAAATAATAAATACATAAGTAATTGTGACCCGATATAATAAATACCATAGTATAAGTGCACAGTAATTATAATGGTAATCAAGTGGTAATCAATCAGCTATTTTTAAATAGCTGAAAACTTTTCTTTTGTATAATCTTCTTAGAAATATAATAAATTAATGCTACTTCCTTCAAATATCCTTTTCCCACCCAATTAGAGCTTTATAGTTATATATATATAGTAGTTGGGTTCATCCTGACAAAACCATACACACATGGAATTTGATTTCAGTCATATCCCCGTTTCCCTTCCCGTTTTCCCTCCTGTCCTCCTCTTCTCCCCTGTTTGCCTTCCTTTACCCTGCTAGACTTCCTTTCATTCATCTATTTATATTTGATCAGTTCTTTTTACTTATACATAATAAAGGTGAAATTCTCTGTGGTATGTTTATATGAGCACATAACATGACTTTTAAGAATTCATTTTGAATTGCCTTCCCTTTTCCCATCCCTTCACTCTGCTTCTTGATCTCCTTCTTCTACACTACTGATCTTACCTATACATTTATGGTGTTTTATCCTTTTCTCCTCCTCTCCTTTATTTTTACTCTAGATTCCACGTGAGAGAAAACATTCAGCCTTTGAGTTTCTGCTTCTGGCATATTTTACTTAGCATAATATTCACCATTTCCATCTATTTACCAGGAAATGTGATAATTTCATTCTTCTTTATGGTCGAGGAGAACACTATTGTGTATGTATACCACAATTTCTTAGTCCATTCATCTATTGACAGGCA